AAGTGGTACGTAAGTTCTTTATCGTACATCAATCAGAAATAGATCAGTGTCATAGCTCCGGTCACGAGTTCTCGGTAGGATGGATACCAATTAAGAGGCAGCGCGTTTCCCGGGAAGCGCGCACGGATCTCCCCGCTTATCCTTCCCAGTTCCCACAGTTTCTCTCTTCCTCCTCCGTTCCTTCCTGTGCGGATCGCTGGCAGCCGCCGCTCTCGAGGTAAGTTATGCAGTCAAGGGAGGAACTCGTTTGAATTTAATGCTGGTCATTATTGCGCGCAAAGAGACGACTCATCGTCGCTTTGATTCTTGTCTGCTCTTCGGCAGTCAATGACAAATCCGTAACGGTTTGCGTCAAGACACCACATCTCGGATCTTGTATGCATCGCGCTTCAAGAAAATGTGACTTCGAATTTGCAATTTCCACGAAGTTAGCGACAGTTGTAAAGTGTATCTCGCGCAGTTTGTGTGATTTTTCTGAATCGTATCCAAAAGACGCGACTGTATAGTAAAAATAAGAACCTTTTTAGTTTTGGAAAATATTTTTATTAAGATCTATTTATATCAGAATTATCAGAATTTTTTTTCGAAATTTTGAAAACTAATTTTTTTCAGAGATAGATTGGTTAAAACATTTATCGGCTCTCGTCGCGTCGTAATCGCTCGATTTCATCATTTTGCAAAAAATCGTGACAAAAGGTCAGCCCAGAAATTTTGGAGAATAGCTTCCGCGAATTTTCAGGTCTCTGCAATATACTATATCTCGTTATCGCATACACTCTCGCCGCTTGGTCGTTTCTCTCCGACTCTGGTCGACCAATCTTCGTCCCGCCTTTCCATCCGTGACAGGTCCGCAACAGTTTGCCACTTACAGCACCTTCCGCTCCCTCGGCTATAACCTTCTCTCATTAACGTCCGTTACTTCGCACTCGATTCCGCACCCGGAACCACCTCGGGCTTGCCTTTCTCTCCCATTATTTCGCCGGCTTACGAGGCAAGGATGTACGAGGACGCCAACGCAGGAACGTTTCTTTTTATCGCGAAACGATGCGGCACTCGAGAAATACAGGATGATTATTCGTCGAGTAAGAAATCTTACGAACGGGGGGCTGTTTGAATAAAGAAAAAATTTCTGCAGAGAGTTCGTTGTTTGTTGTAATCTTCAATTTTTCATGTAAGATCAATAACTCGGCAGTATAATTAAGCTTGGAATAAAAGTTTTGTTGAAGTTGCCAAGTATCCTATATAGAGCCTGTAGTCGAGAGAT